ATCTGATAGTGTTGCAGTTTTTAAAATCAGGCTAAAGATGTATTTTATCTCTTTAACATATTTGAACGAATGTGGATACTTTTTAACGTTTTGTATAACTTTTATTTTATTGATCTATGCTATGTTTACTTTGTGAAGCACTGTGACAATTGTATCGTGAAGGGCGCTATATTACGTAAATTTATTGCAGTATATAGTGCAGTTATGTAATACAGTATATACAAGTGACATGTTAGTGTAAACCAAAAAAAATACAAATACTTACAGTAGGTGTGCTGTGTATTTATTGTGCTCCCGGAGTCATTGTCAGTAGGTCCAAGTCTAACACTGGTCCCACCATCCCCCCCCCCCCTCTGCTATCACCCTTCCTGTCATCCCTTAAAGTATTAGCACATATAAACATTCACTACATTTGACAAATTATAAACAATGTTACATGTTTTAGGTAGTTTTATATGCATTATATATTAAGTAAATTAGTCTACATGTTATATAAATTATATTTCATTTCTATTTCTATTTCATTTCTAATTCCTATCATTGAATATGTATTACAGATGTATTTTTATCAGCCGACCTGGTCTGGCTAAATACAAAATCTGCCAATCCAAGGTCAGGTTAGCTGCGGTTTTACTGTATTGCTGTATTGCATAGCAGCAGTCGCATTCCCATTTTCATTCTGAATCTGTTCTGAATAAGCTAACTTTCGAGAACAGATCTTACAGGCTGTTTGCACTTGCTATAGAAAAATTATATCCAGTGCTTTTCAATCATACTTAACTCAACTGCTGAATAAACATACAGTTCTCCATGCTTACACAACCATACACATTCCTGTGTGGATGCATTTATTCTCGCCAGCATGCAATACTTAATGTTTATGCACATTTACACAAATGTGTATCTACATGATCAAATTATATTGCGGCTGTCTGTTTAAGCGTTCAATGGCTCGATCTCTAGCCAGTAGTTTAAGGTTTGAGTCAGAAACCATTAATATGAACACTTTCTTGTGCTTTATATAACAGCCACACAAATCTCAAGCTAGTTCCAGTTGATTATACCTGGAAATATTTGGTCTGGACGAAACTGGTCATGGTCTACTCAAGCTTTTTGAAAGACTCGCTGAATCAAAATATCCCAAAACCACCGGATCTTGTCATATCACAGAAGCCTAAGCAGCATTGTCCCTGGCTAGTACTTGGATGGGCGACGACGGTGCAGGTTGTTATACACTTGCAAAACTACAGGGTGGGCAAGAGGGCAGTTCAGCAAAATCGAATGCCTCCCGGTAAATGTTCCACACTTTCACCAACCCGCACTGACCAGCGTGATGAATTATGGGCACGCCCTCAACTATCAGTGGACTGACAAACGGGCCATACAAGCGCAGATATTATTTAAATGTTAATGGATATGTTGATCAACACACACCATTGCATGTGGCTATTTCTTATTTAACTAGGTTTGGAGTCCAAACAACAATTATATAAGTGACTTAGTATACACTGTATGTTGAACTTCGTTTGTACCGTATGTAGCCAACCGTGCTAATTGGACTGCGATCTTCAGATAACGAGCATATATTAATTAGGAGTTTCATAAATGTGGATATTCATATTTTATATTTAGACTGAAGAGTTAATTGAAGTGTACTTTGTCTTTTGGAAACTTGCAACATGGCAGATGTGCTCGTTTAATTGTACATATTCCAATTCTACTGCAAATGCAAGCAATACATTTCACATTTACTGATTCGAATTAAAATAAGCGATGCAAATTTCATCTGGGACAACTGTAATTACAAATAAGTGGCATTCGTTTGTGTGCAGTATACACTGGATCCATGGTGTTGTGTGATGTAGACTTCAACATGAACACTACTAACATTAAGTCATTACTGAACTTTATTGTGCAATTACTTGTATTAATACACTTAATCCTGTAAGCGGACATCCATAATTTTAATCAGCAGTTACACTTTCACAAGTGCCATTCGCCAAAATACACTCCACGTACATTCAAGGGCAGTCCGATAAAACAAGTTTTTTTTTTACACAACAGCAGCCACTACAAATTGATCTAAATATGGATACCCCAGGGATTTCTTATGATCCTCTTACTCTTTCAACAGGTGATCAAATTGTGAAAGCGATTGCTCCATATTTTAAGAGTGTTAAAATATTTAATTTGTACATTGAAAAACAGTGGGAGACATGATAGGTTTTTCCCCTTTTATCTGGCAGCAAAACAGGTGTTAAGTTGTTAAAACACCAAACGGAAACCTTTTACAAGGAATCATGTCTGTATTAACCACAATACTTGTGGGCAAAATTCAAACAAAAAACATACTCTGATAATATATGCATTGTCTTTGAAACTGATTGGTCCACACCAGAGACAGCTTTCTTTTGAGCCTCGTCTCAAACGGCGTTAGACCAGAGTATTGTGGTTAATGCAGAAATGATTCCTTGTAAAAAGGTTTCAGTTCGGTGTTTTAACAACTTAACTACCTGTTTTGTTGCCAGATAAAAGGGGAAAAACCTATCATCATATTTTGGTACTGGCAAAGGAGGTTCAATGAAGTGGGAGACATGTAGAAGATATGAAATAACATTTTTACTCTATAATGTATCATTGTTAGTTGGGTTTTTATAAATGGATCACCCTGTATCACTACCCTGAGCACTATGCGACAGAGCGTGCTTCTCACACTGAGATTGTGAAATCAAATCCCACGTAGGGGAAAACTAGGCTCATCATCCTTTGAGGATTGGTAAATGGGTACTACTTTGAGGGGTTTCTATAAATGGCTTGGGCTTTGCCTCTGCGAAATAAATCTTGGTTGCCATGCAGTGGAGCAAGCGGGTCCCCCTACCGCTCTGTAAACACGAGCACGTGCGCGACTGGGCGAGCGTGAAGCGGCCGGTGTCAACGAACATCGCCGCGCCGCGTGCGCACCGAGTAAACACAACGAAAAACACGAGGCTTGCACACTCCACAGCCAGGACGGGTGAGGAGGGGGGGGGGTGAAACTGAATACTTCAGGTGGGCTCGCCTCTGCAAACATTTGTTTGAAACAGGTCATAATCCTCACCCCAAATAGACTCCGTCAGTTAAACTGATCAGAACCCGAATCAGCCCAATGCAACCCCCAAAGAAAACCAAGCGCAAACTGACTACTGTATAATCATTAGAAACGGACTATACCCAAAACCACAAAGCACTCCCACCGCACCCCCGATGCTTAATCGACCCAATCACAGACCCTACACCAGTTTAACCCCCCCCCCCAAACAGACCTTAACCCCAGACATTAAGCCTAACCCCATACTCTAACCCCAAATACTGTACACCCAGAACAGACACAGTGCCAAAAATGTGGAAATAAGTCTAGGCGCAAACGGTACCGGGGGTCTCCCTCTCACCCACCTCCTCCCCGCGTCAATGTGATCGTTTCGTCGCACGCGGGAGTCCCTCGGCCACCCACTCAGTCTCGTGTGCCTTCCTCAAGCGACCCCCCTCCCCCACAGGGCATGTCCATCATCCCTCCTGAGTTAAGTCGCGTGCACAGCCCCCCACCCCAGCCCATGCGATCCCTCCTGCAAGTCGCGTGCGCAGGGGGCTATCCTCCTCCTCACCCTCCATGTGATCGCTCTGAAATTTTGCGTCAGAAATAGCGTGTAACCGAGATATACCGCACTAACAACTGTCGCCACAAACCCTATACGCGATGGCTCAGGAAGGTGGAGAGCATAGATAAAGAGGGCTGGACAGTCGCGTGCAACATGCCCCCCCCCCCATTCCTGGAGTACCCCCCAACACCGAATACCCCCCTTGTGGTTTTGAGTCTCCCCAACAGGGGTCTCCGACCACTCGGGCCCCCCGACACCTTCCCCCACCCCCAATGCGCTCGGAGTGTCACGCGCCAGAGTTTTATGCACGAGCCCCAACGGCCCCCCTCTCTCCACGAGCCCCCCCCCCCCGTGCGCTCGGAGTGTCACGCGCCAGAGTTTAATGCACGAGCCCCAACGGCCCCCCCCCCCCATGCGCTCGGAGTGTCACGCGCCAGAGTTTTATGCACGAGCCCCTACGGCCCCCCTCCCTCCACGAGCCCCCCCCCCCGTGCGCTCGGAGTGTCACGCGCCAGTGTTTTATGCACGAGCCCCAACGGCCCCCCTCCCTCCACAAGCCCCCCCCGTGCGCTCGGAGTGTCACGCGCCAGAGTTTTATGCACGAGCCCCAACGGCCCCCCTCCCTCCACGAGCCCCCCCCCCCCCCGTGCGCTCGGAGTGTCACGCGCCAGAGTTTCGTGCACGAGCCCCATCGCCCCCCCCCTACCAAGACCCCCCCCGCCCCCACCTACGAAGACCGCCCCGCCTCCCTACCAAGACCCCCCCTCCGCCCCCCCCTACGAAGACCCCCCCGCCCCCCCCCGCGTGCGCTCCTCCGACTCGCGTCTCCCGCGCGCGGTACCGTACGCAGCCTCGGCCTCGTCCAGGCGAGCACCGCTTTAAATAAAAAAAATTACAACCACCACACACACGCGCGCATATCTATCTACACACACACATACACGAGCCCCGTCCACAAGAGACTCGCGCGCGCTTTAATATTAGAACGCAAATTGCATTTTTTTCTTTCTTTTTTAAATTAAGAAAAGATCCCCGCACAAACGGTGGGTAACGAGATTAAAACGAGCGTGCGTTTCACAGAGGCTGGGAAATCGTTGTCCAGCTCGGCCGCGCTAACGATATATTATTAGTTTGATACGCCTTTTGTACATGCGCGTTTGTATTTGTATTTAAACCGAAGCCCCGCCCGGCGCCGCCTCAGCGTTTGGCGCCAGCTGAGGGAGGCGGACGCCTTCACTCACTCCCCTCGTTCGCTCGCTTCCTCAGCCGCTAAAAAAAAAAACCCCGGCAAACTAAGAACAAAGACAGCCCGCAATCGGCGGCGAGGGACGCGGAGCTGGTGCGAGTCGCCGTGGCGGCGCTTACCGAGCTGCGGCGCTGGCGGCGGGCGAAGCTCAGCGAGCGCGGCCGGGGATGATGTTTACAGTCTCCGCTCAAGACGCCATTTCCCGCGCACGAACGACGTGCGGGGAGGGGGGGTGGTAGACGGGGCGGGGCTGTGGGGGGTGCGGGGGGTGGGGGGGGCAGCGGGGACCGGAACCCCGCCCCTTCGCCCCGCATGGCTAAGCCTCCCCATGCCCCCCCCCCCTCGCTCTCTCGCTCTCAACTCCAGCAGCTGCTGCTGCTTGCTGCGCATGGCACCAATAGGTTCAGGAGCTAAATGTTCAGGTCTGGTCACCACAACGAGAGGGCTTCAGGAGAGAGAGAGATAGTCTTCACCTGAGGACGGCTGCTTGCGTTGTGGCCGAAACGTCGTGATAATTGTATTTTATTATGTTTTATTTTTAGTATTTTATTATTTCTCTTCTACGTGACTTTACCGAAAGAACCAAGAAGAGATAGTCTTCGTGTAGTTGTGCCATTCCTCAGGACGTCAATTAAAGTCCACAGTTTGGGGTTGCAATAGCTACAGTCGCACGACACTGGCTTGTTGATATCTGGGTTCACAGGAGAGGGATGGAATTAGTCCATGGGTAAGAAGAGAACTGGAACCACCGAAGGTAGCAAGACGTTAGTAGGACTGATTTATTGTGAAATGTCTTGACTTAAAGCATTCGTGATTGCAGGAATTCATATTCTTTCGGTAAAGTCACGTAGATAGGTTCAAAGAAAATAACAAAAAAACGCGACGTTTCTATCACAACACAAGCGATCGCCATCGGGAGGAAAGCTGCTGAATGCAGACTTTTTATAGGGTGTAGTCCAAGGGTCATCAACGAAGTGGGCAGGGCTAGTGATGTTAATGTGAGAGATTAGCATGTTAATGTCGGATCGGAGAGCGGCCTCCACGAGGGCACAGAGGTGGCTATGTTAATGTGAGAGATTAGCATGTTGATGGGAGATCGCAGAGCGGCCTCCACGAGGGCGCGGAGGTGGCTATGTTAATGTGAGAGATTAGCATGTTGATGGGAGATCGCAGAGCGGCAACGTCGAGCTCGGCGAGCGAGGTGGCTGTGTTAGTGTGGGATATTTAACCTGTTAATGTAAAATCAGAGAGCCAAAAATAAACAACTGAAACACGGTAGGACCAATAACTGATCGCTGTTTTAATGCGGTGGGCTCACACAAAATGTATTTCTCCAAGACGAAGGTACTTTGCAAACCCACTGGCTATCAACAAAGATTTGTTAATGAACCTATCTACGTGACTTTACCGAAAGACCCAAAGAAAAGTGAAATGTCTGGTCTGGGCTCATGGCAGGCAAAGCAAAGCACCCATCCGTAATGGACAACTACCTTGCAGATGGAGCGATGTGACCGGTTTATATTTGTAGAAGTGAAATTCATGGTCGCAGCACTGGGCCATGAGAAATGGAAACGTAGTGGGGAGGCGGAGAGTGTAAACTATATGTAATTTAATCTATGGAAATATGTCCTGTTTACGTATAATGAGGGAGAAGACGTAGAATGCAGTTTGCATTGCTTAATCGGCTTGGGAGCTGGCATTTTGGCGGTCAGGTGGGCAGTGACAGCTAATAGAGCAGCGCACGCAAGAGGCATGGTTCATCGATTCATAGGCTGACAATATATGCATACTCTTTGGGTCTTACCGAAAGACCCAAAGAGTATGAATTCCTGCAGTCACGAAAGCTTTAAGTCAATATTTTATATATGCATACAATTGCGTGTAAAATCGATTGGTTATACGCTACATTCTGAATGCATCTCGATGGTAAAAAATACATTTATTTATGACCATCAATTATAACAATAAGTAGTCGTGTGGAGGGGGTGACTTGCAACATTCCCCTTGTGGAGATAGGGATAAGGCGTGTTTCCCCGTTGAAAATCGCTGATTTCAAACCCCAATCTTACAAACCCTTAAAATCCCCCCACCATTCCATGAATTTTTCGTTGCGACCCGCTCCTCTGACGCCTTACCCTTCATCCCCTCCTCCCCACCATTCCTTTCCTTCTCATCCACATCCTCACCCGTTCCCTCATCAGCCAACCCACCCTTCTCCCATCCTCATCCTAACCCTTGCATCTCACCCCGACCTCCCTCGTCAGCTCCTCACAACTCACCACCTACCTCTCACCCTGGCCTCTCCAACTCCTCACCCAACACCTAAACCAATTCCCTCCTCACCCCGGCCTCCCATTTCTCTTCATCCACATCATCACCGAGCTCTACCTCCTCACCATCTATTATGAATCCTCATCCCTCTGTCTTCCTCCCCTATCCCGATCCTCTTCTCTCGCCCCCCCCTACCCACCAACCCCGAGCCCTCTTTCCCCCCTTCCCTGCCCCCCCTCGTCCTCCCTTTCCCCCCTCGCCCTCCCTCCCCCCCTCGCCCCTCCCTCCCCCCTCGCCCCTCCCTCCCCCCCTCGCCCCTCCCCTACCTTCCCCCGCCGAATCTCTCCCAGCCCCTCCCCTACCCCCGCATCTTTCCTTTCCCCACTCGCCCCTCCCTTTCTCACCCCTCCTCCCCCATCTCTCTCCCAGCCCCTCCCCTTCCTCCGCCTCTTTCCTCTCTCGCCCCTCCCTTCCTCCGCTCCTCCCCCTTCTTCCGACTCTCTCCCAGCCCCTCCCCTTCTCCTGCCTATTTCCCCCTCACCCCTCCCTCCTCCGTCTCCCCCGAGCCCCCCCCTCTTCCCAGCTCCACCCCCCCCCACCTTCCCTCCCAGTCGCTCACCGTCATTGGCCAAACCTTCCCCGTAAATAGACCAATCGCGCAAATGCCTCGGGCACGGTCACGTGCGTACGCTCGATGAGGGGCGGGGTGGGTTATGTTGGGGGGGAGGGGCGCGCGCGCGCGCGGTGGGGGAGTTAGGTGGGGGGGGCAAACCGCGTGCGCGCGAGGCCATGCCTGGGGGGGTTGGGGGTGGCGCGCGCGTGACGTTTCATCGCAGAGTCCCCGGATGTTTCCGTTCCATGCGAAACAGAGGACAGCGTGCAGGGGCTGTGGGGGTGTTGCAGAAATAAAAAGGCGGCACATTTGAAATTGGCGCACGAGGTTGGCACGTGGACTATTAACATTGAGGGGGGGGGGGGGGGGTGGCAGCAGCTGCACATTGACCAACAACTGCCCCCCCTCCCCTTCGATGGCCATGACTGGGGGGCTCTGTTCAGTGGCCCGCAGTGACAGCGACGACGACTGCGGCGGAGGCGGCAGCTGACGGAGCCGCCACTGTGCCAAGTGTCAATCACCCATCAAAGGGATTCACATAATGAGGACTCTTTTGCCAGTACCAAAATATAAGAATAGGTTTTTCACCTTTTTTCTGGCAACAAAACTGAAACCTTTTTACAAGGAATCGTGTCTGCATTAACCACAATACTTGTGGCCAGAATGCAAACAAAAAATATACTCTGATAAGAGATGCATTGTCCTTGAAACTGATTGGTCTTCACCACAGTTGTACGCCTTTTGGCGTCCTCTGATCGAACACCGTTTGAGACATGGCTCAAAAGAAAGCCGTCTCTGGTGTAGACCAAGCAGTTTCAAACAATGCATATATTATCAGAGTGGTTTTTTTTTGCATTCTGGCCACAAGTATTGTGGTTAATGCAGACATGATTCCTCGTAAAAAGGTTTCAGTTTTGTTGCCAGAAAAAAGGGGAAAACCCTATTCTTATAAAGGGATTCACGTCAACAATAAGCAAAAGCATCAATTGCCAAATGGCCATCGTCAATCGTCGGTCAATGAAAGTGTCTCAAAACATACATTTGTTGAGAATAGATTTTCCCCTTTTTTCTGGCAACAAACCTATTTGCAACAAACATGTTTGTTGCCAGAAAAATGTTTGATTTAAAGCTTTCGTGACTGCAGGGATTCATTTTCTTGGTTCTTTCGGTAAAGCCACGTAGAAGAGAAACAATAAAATAATTGCTTTATGTTTTTATTATTTTATTGTTTCCTTTCTACGTGACTTTACCGAAAGAACCAAAAATAGGTGTTAAGATGTTAAAACACCAAATTGAAACCTTTTACAAGGAATCATGTCTGCATTAACCACAATACTTGTGGTCAGAATGCAAAAAAAAACACTGATAAATATATGCATTGTCTTTGAAACTTTTGTTGTCAATGATAATAATAATGGCAATGGCCATGCGGCGTCGATCACAACTTGTCAAGCACCCGGTGGAGATGTTGACCGTAACCATTTGTAAATCGGTGTTAATTAAAATAAAACAGTTGTCAATCACACCTGACAAAATGCAGTCAACCATAAACAAATCAGGCATCACAAATGTCAACACGACTAATGTCCGTCACGCATTATAGCGCAAATGTAATAACTTCTGACATCTTAATTAAGATATGTGTACATTTCAATTACATGTACTGTGTAGCCCTTTTGTCCAACCGCAACATCGATTTTGGCATTTCCCCATTAGAAGCGTCAACAACTCGCATACAACACGACAACGAATTCAGTTTACACATTAGACGCATCAATCAACGATGGCAAAGTATGTTACTCGTGTTGCCATCTGTCCTTGTTTTGAGCTGTCTTCGGAAGCCTACGTTTAATCTACCAGGGACATTTAAAAATCCTCGGTGCTTTTTTTCAATTGCATAATATGGTAATACACGACTCACGACAATGCAGTTACGTGTAGTTCTTCAGGTATAATGAGTTAATATTCTAAGCATGATATTTCCCGGTTTTTTGTACCTGTACCGCAGCTGGCAACCCTATCAGTTACCCAGTATCAATAACACTTGTCATTTACCCAATACCACTGTCAGTAAACAATCCTATATCATCAATCACCAAAAACAAATGACAATCACCCATTACAAAACAAGTTGCAATCACAAATACTGTAATAATTATAAGAGTCATGTTACCTGAGACAAATCACATTAATTTATAATTGCAAGTATATTTTTTTTACGATCAGAGGAAACAAGAAGATGCTTGGTTTAGTCGGCACTTTGCTTCGTTCATAATTTCGGTTTTTTTTCCATTGCTTTGCTTCATGTGCTCCCCCTCACCCCTTTTTTAAATGAAAGATCATACGTATTTTCCTATTGTGAAACA